CTCCTGACCAGCAGTGTACTTGTTAGTCTGCCTGTTCTGCTCCCCACTCTGTCTCTGGTGAAGCCTGTCACCACCTCTGTACCTCTGGCCTGTACCCCATTTCTGTATGCATAAATAAGTAAAATCTTTTAAAAGAGAGAAAACATGATTTCCACTTACATGGTTCTCATATGGGCCAGTGCATAAAAGATATACATTAAATAAATATTCATGACAAACTCTTCAAAGTAGCACCAGTAGTTTTATAATTTTTAAAACCAGAGCGTAGAGGAACAGAGTTTGTTTCTTGTCCATGGTCACACATCCATAAAGCTGTGATGCTGAACTTGAAGCCAGAAAGTCTGATCATTGTTATCTGGCTTCTAAACATGGAATCATACTGTCTCTTTTTTCTTTTTATGATCATTGTGATGATTAAAAACTTGTGGTTTTAAAGCACATGTCATATATCAACAAATATACTTGATTATCTCCCAAAGTGCTTTTTTTCCCCTTTTTATTTAGCTATGACCAGTTGTTATGTGTTAAATAGAACTAACTCAAGATTGTACAGACTACAAAATGTCTGTTTACTTTTCCACTTGCTACCTTCTAAGTCCCCATTGTTGGTCTTTGAACGTGAATCTCTTAATAATTTTTTGTTTTAAAACTGGAATCACATATCTGTGTTCGCCTGGCCTTGTTTCTGTCCATTCTCATTCTGTTTAGTTAGCATGAGGCTTAAGTTACCAGTGTCATTTACTTACATTAAGAAATAGCTTTGTTTTCCCAAATACTCTGGGAACTGCTCTGGAGATTAAATCATTAATCTTGAAAATACTAATATAGTGCTATACTCATTGAAGAACCCTCTAAGTTTTCTTTAATTGCTTATATACGGATAAAAATTACCCTGAAAAATTAGAAAACGGCTGCAAGAATGAAGACAAAGCATCATTTTGCATAATTAGTAAAGGCAGCAGGAATATGAAAAACCCAGTGAATTTTACTGTTAGAAGTTGAACTGATGGAACTTGTTGAAAATGTAGCAAATGTTGATTTGTGATGAGGATTCCAGAGAGACTTTCAGTTTTCTTACTTAAACAACAAAGCAAAAAATGATGCCATTCACCAAGATAAGGCTTTTTGATGAGGGTCACATTTAGAGAAAAGAGAGATGACACAATATTAAAATCCTAGATTTCAAGGCTAAGGAATGACAAAGAATAAATTTGATAAATCAAATTTCCTAAATATTCCTTTGTGTGTAGAAGGAAGTCACTAGAAATCTCCATCTGAAATAGGTTTAGAGAAAATAGATCATTTTCTGGTAAACTGATCATTCTTTAACAAATTAACTTGTCTACATGAAGCTGTATATATTATTTCACAGGAGACATTTAATCGCCTCCTAGTACATTTTTCTTATTCATTACCTTCTCTTTGAATTGTATCCCCCATATGTAATTCCTAACTACTTGTCTGAATATTATAGTTTTACTCATTTGACTAAAATGTAGAATACTTCAGATAGACCATATGTCTTAACAGAATCATTTCACTTACGATTTTTAAAATTGGAAAAAGTTCCTATCAGTCAATTTACCTTCCCTGCAGTTTTATATATGGCCCACTGTGAAAAAAAACCTCTCAATAAAAACAATTTAAAATTTTAAGCAAAATGTAAAAGGATGGGGGAAGGGACATTTTTTAGCTGTGTCTGAACTGAATCTAAGAAACCCTCAAATGCCAAAACAGATTGAAAATAGGAAGCCAAAGTATTAGGTTAACTGGAGCCCCACTTATACTTAATCCTGGTGACCAGATTAGACTTTGAGAGTGTAGGGGAACTGTGGACACAAAACAAAGCCGCAGGCCTTTAACACAGTAGAGACTTTAATAGGATACTTCTGCTTTAAACAAGGAGCTCCAAGGAACGCACACTCAGTCCGAATGAGAGATCAAATATGTTTGTAGCATGAAAGGAGAAAAGAGAAAGAACAAAAATGTGCTTATTATTAACTTTGGTCCTAGCTGGAGATAGAAAATCAACGTGCCTGAGGATTTATAACTGAAAGAAAATGCTCATACGGATTTGTAGCATCAATATATACCAATTATGATGTCCAAAACCCTCAAGACAACATTTATTTTAATATCAGTTGCCATGTTTTCTGGCATAAGCAAATACAAACAGTTTTTGTATATGCCTTCAAATTGGTCTTCAAGGGAATTCTAACTCATTCAGTGATTCTAACTCATTCTTAATTTTAGAGTAAAATTTGAGAAAGCAGAAGGGAGAAATAATTCAGATTATGTGTGTATGTAAACGTGTTTATATATATACACACACACAATGTACATATATATATTATTTGTATAGAGTATTGTATGTAGGGATGTGTCTTTGTATGTTAATTTTGTAGCCTGTCAAAGAAATGAGTAATGTAGCAGGCTACAAAATTAATACACAAAAATCTACTGTATTCCTATATGCAGGTAACATTTGTGAAAGAAAAGAATCACATTTACAGTTGTATCAAAAATAAGTCAAGGCCTTCCCTAGTGGGGCAGGGGTTAGAGTGCAGCACTATGAAGCTATCTGCAGTTACTACAGAATGAGTTGGATCCCTCACCAGGGAAGTGACCTACATGGCTCAGCAGTCCTCTCCCAACCTGCCTGCTGCTCCCCTCAGCAGTGTATTTTGGTGAATCTGCCTGTTCTGCTCCCAACTCTGTCTCTGCTGAATCCTCTTATCACCCACACCACTGGCCTGGCCTCATATGCATAAATCAAACAAACAAACAAAGTCCATACCATAGAATAATTTTTTTTAAAAATAGATAAAAATATAAAGTGAAAACTCTCAGATACTATTAAAAAATCTAGGACAAGTAACAAAAAGGTGGGAAGATAGCTCATGTTTATGGATGGGGAGAATTAATAGAGTCAAAATAACCATCCAAAAGCAGTAATATCTTTCAGTGCAATCCCTATCAGAACTCCAATGGTATTTTTCAAAGAAATAGTAAGTACTAGAATTTATATGGAATTTCACAAAAAACCCCAAATAGCTACAGTGAAAGTTAAGGATGAAAAAAAAAATGAAACATTTTTTCCTGATTTGTAGCTTTAATTTATAAAGCAACAATAATGAGAGCAGTATGATACTGGAATAAAGATAGACACATGGATCAATAGAATAAACTCAAGAGCTCAGAAATAAATCTGTGTGTAAATCAACATTTCCTTGATGATGGAGTTATGACTGTATTATAGAGAAAGGAAAATCTAATCAACAAATGATGCTGGGAAAACTGGCCCATTTTCTAACTCCATACACAAAAATAAATTTAAGATGGTTTACAGATTTAAATATAAGGCCTAAAACCCTAAGATACAGAAAAGAAAACATAGATGATACGTTCTATGATGAAAATATGTCTTTTTGGATTCAAGCCCATTGGCAAGAGAAATGAAACTAAAAACTAATCAAATTAGGTCTACAGCAAATGAAGAAGCTTTTGCACACAAAAGAAAGTCAGCAGACTTAAAGGACAAACTCCTAAGTCAAGATATTTTTATTTCATATCTGATAAGAGGCTAACATCCAAGAAATAAAAAGTACTCTTCCAACTTAACAAGAATCAAAAGTCCAATTTAAAAAATGGACAGCAAATCTGCAGAGATATCTTTCCAGAGGATATGTGGATAGAGACAGACATATGAAAAGATACACCTTTGAGAATGGCTTACATCAAAATGACTTAATAACAAGAGCTGGCGATGATGTGTAAGAAGAGAAACCTCTATACGCTGATTATGAGAATGCAGATTGGTGTCCCCAATTTTGAACTTCCTCAGAAAATTAAAAATAGAGCACCAAATGACCCAGCGATTCCCTTCTGGATATCTACCCAAGGAAGAGAAAAGCACCCACTCAGATAGTTACATGACACAATGTTTATTACAGCCTTATTTACAATTGCTAAGATTGGGCAGCTACCTAAGTGCCCAGCCACAGATGA